AAGGTGTGAGCTCCAGTCTTGATCATCCCAAGGAAGTAGAAGAGTTAGCTTTATTAGTTTAATCCAAGAATACCCTGAATGGTCTTGGGGCATTCAGGGTGGGGAGGGTCACAAGAGGAAGAGGACAAGTACTTAGAGAGTACATTTTCATTAATGAATATGCATTGATGGATTTCTTTCGCTGTGGAGCATTTTTGGTTTGGAAGTTTTTTCCCTTCTAGCATCTTTGTGTAATGAAGATTTCCATTACACTTACAGTAATGTATGACTCTGTCCCCGAAGTGGTTTGGTGGAAGCTTGTTGCCATACAGATCTGCAGGTCCTTCTAGTGAGTTGAGGAACTGACTCATCAAGCTACTTGCACAACTACCACAAGGAAAAGTACAACTGGGCAAATCTTATCAGCAAAAGTGAGTTTTGGTGTAAATGAAATGGCTGTGATTTTCATGGTTTTATTAAAAGATGCTGCTTTAATGTCATAGAGAAGTGACAAAGGCTACCAAGGAATTTAACTTGATGACTCTTTTTAATGGAATACACTATAAATGCTGTTTATAGCATTAGAAATGCCTGGCAACATCTTTACATGTTGTGCTAACAAACTGCCATCATCAAGAATGCCATCTGGTGTTGAAAACTGCCAGTTACTTAGGGCAGATAAAATTATTATTCTGATCATCTCCATCTGGAGAGCAAGTCTTATGAGGAGCAGCTGAGGGAGCTGGGTTTGTGTGGTCTGGAGAAAAGGAGGCTGAGGGGAGACCTTATCACCCTCTACAACTACCTGAAAGGAGGTTGTAGCGAGGCGGGGGTTGGTCTCTTCTCCCCGGTAACGAGTGATAGGACAAGAGGAGATGGTCTCAAGTTGAGCCAGGGGAGGTTCAGGTTGGATATTAGGAAGAATTTCTTCACTGTAAGAGTTGTTAGGCATTGGAACAGGCTCCCCAGGGAGGTGGTGGAGTCACCATCCCTGGAGGTGTTCAAAAAACATTTAGATGTGGCGCTTTGAGACATGGTTTAGTGGGTTTAGTGGGCATGGTGGCATTGGGTATACAGATAGACTTGGTGATCTTTGAGGTCTCTTCCAACCATAATGATTCTATAATTCTATGATTTTTTTGTCTGGTGCTGACTTAATATCCTTGGTATGAATTTAGTATGACATTCTGTGTTTTTCTGAGGATTCATCTGACCCATTCTGGGGGTTTTGTGTCTTCCTGGAGGAAGAGAACTGTTTAAGGATAAGAAAGTGGCTACCTCTAATAAATAGGTTATCTGAAATGCATGGAAGTATGAGAACCAAATTTCTGGATTAATTCCAAAATTGTGTATTCCATCCCAATGTATTCAATTACCAAAAGGGGGAGGGGGGGGGGGACGGGACTAAGCCCAACTTTCCTGAAAATCTAGTTTGTGTTTTAGACACTTAAAGATGAAAAATATGCACCAAACAGTCTATTTTATTTGTATATATTGGTCTAAAGAGGCATAATTGCTTCTTATATTCTTTCCTGTGTCTACAGGAAAATTTTAAGTGTCATTTCATTTTACTTCGTTTTTTACTTCTCATATTCAAAATTATAGATTATACCAAGTGAAAAGATAGCAGTACATTTTCTTTCAAATGAGGTTTCTTTTTCTGAATGTACTAGCCACTGTAGAAGTCTGCCAGCAGTACGCCTTTGGAGACGTCTATCACAAAAGCTTGGAAAAAGGAAAAGTGTAAATTTTAACTATCAGCCAGGACAAGGTAGCAGTTGTCAGGAGAAGCTACATGGCTTGTATTTGGAATGTGATTCTTCAATAGCACATTTTATCAGTGCTTTCAAGAAATGATTTGTTTCAGAAAATGATCTAAAGATCTTAAGAAATGCATTCTTTGAACAAATATTGCTTTCCTGATAATGGAAAGAAGGCAGAACTAATTTTTGGTTGGATAAATTAGTGAATGAGGCCTGTAGGAATCTAATGACAGCATTTGTCACGGATGTTGGCTCTCATTGAAGTTGATGGGATTTCTGAAGTTCACTTGAAATTGAGCTTGAAGGCCATTCACATGTTAGTACCTGTTCCTGTGAGCTAGGCCTAAGCAGTTAAGGTTGTGTAAAAACAGATAGTTACTTATAATCTGACAAAATGAGTACCCTGTGCGGTCAGTAAAAGGTGAACTTCTGCTCTATAAGGAAAATGCAATTAGAAAGTCAAGAATGAAAAAGAGAAGTTGGGTAGGAAGCTCACATTTGCTGTCTGTCCCCTCAGTTCTCAGAACTCCGACTGGGTGGTAAGCACGGCGGCGTGGACGTGGTGGGCTTCTGGCTAGGCAGAAAAATTGAAAAGGTGCCCTGGTAGCTTTAGAGGAAGATGCATATGGCACTTTTTCCTTGGAATCATGGAAACTGCAGTTTGTGTAAGTTAAGAAGTGTACAATTTAACAATTCCAGTGTGAGATACTGAACTATAAAACACGTATTTTTCGTTTAAAGGTTGACACATATATTGACTAGATGTGATTCTTTTAAGTTTGCTTTTAGGACAAGGAGATGCTCTGAGCAGAAAGTTGGAATTGAAGGCTGTAGACCTGTGTCTCAGGAACTGAATATGTCACACTAGTTTTTGCTGCAAATAAGACTTGTGACCAAAACATTGACTGTTCAAGAGCATTTGGGAACAATGTTCTTTAAATTTCTACTGGACTGTAATGTTTCTCTCTTTTATCATCAGGTAAGATATGTGGCATTTAAGAAACTGAACAGGAGATCTTTATAGCCCAGTCTTTCACTGAATATCTACAGTATCTAAATCTTTTCCTCCTACTCCCCTGCCCGCTCCCCCCCATAGTCTTACTTTATTGTGGGCCTGCCCTTTGTCAGATAGATGCAGAGATACAATGCTTTAGTTATAGTAGTTTCCTGCTATTGTAACAAATAAATAGTTGTAGCTTAGCCTGGAAGTGGGTCCAAGACTGTAAGCTTTAAACCTCAGCAGAACCGAGACTGTAGCTCTTACTGTGCACAATATAAAGCACATGAGAAGGTGCCCTGTACCATTTCAGTAGCTGCAGAGCAGGGAGAAAATACATGAAGTAATACTTGCTTTGCAAAAAATTATTGGCACGGAATAGGAGACATTTGTCACAGTGAAGATCTTGGAAGATGTTTAACACAACTCTAGTTAAGTTATAGCTGTGTGCTCTGTTTCTCAGAAGATTAGGAAACAAAAGAATTCTATTCTAGATGCCTCTAGGAGTGAAATAAACAGGCATAGATAGGAAGAATTTATGTTCTTCATGGTGTATGAGTTTTTGTACTTGGTAGTTACTGAACTTGGGATCTGATTGTCTGTTTTCCTATCCTTGGCAGTATTACAGGGGTGTATTTTCACATGAATGAAGAGTTCTTGAACAATTTGTCTGCCTATGCTGGGAACAAACAGGCTTTTCTTCCATGTCTGGCATGAGTGTTTTCTTCAGCTAACTTCTTACTGAAAGAAGGTTCCCATGTTACATTCCTATTTGGCTTTTGTTGAGTATGTGTTGTCATATTTTAGGAAGTTTTGTGAGTAGTAGAACAACTTATATCGATAGTCTTGGGTGTGTGGAAAACAACCATTTGGGGATTTTTGGTGGTTTTACCTAGAGACCAGTTGCTTAAACAGTCTTCCTCATACTAGTGATTAAAATGACATTTCTTTTCCTGCAAAAGCTGTTTTAACAGAAGTTCTTGATGTCTGTGTTCGTGTACTGATGGTCTTACAAGCATGGATCAGTATTAATATTAAATGTGTGAATATAGGTAAGCTAGATAAACTACATTCAGCTTTAAAAGATATCAAAACTGCGTTGTTGCCTTTAAGTAGGAGTTTGATGTGTAGGATGATGATAATGCACATCCCAGTAAAGGAAATATTGATTAAGATATACTAATTGCATGAAGGCTAGAGTGAAGAATGTAGGTAGCTGCGGTAGGAAAATACTGGTATGTAATGTTAGAAGAGTTTTTTTCTAAGGAGGCATTGGTTTGTTCTCAGAAAATCCAGGTTTCTATTTGTTGTCCCTTTTTTGTCTCAGGTGCAATTAATAGTCTGCTTCTCTGAAGAGGTGGAAAATACTGTTTTGAAGCCTTTTTTTGAGAAGGTTTCTTAGTGGTGTTACATATACTTTTCAGATTACTAGAAAATTAAATTCAGCAAATGAAGCCTGGGAATATTTTTTTTTAAATCAATTTTTAGTTACGTACAAGATGCTATTTGTACTGATTGAAGGCAAATAAGATTTTTTTTAGTTCCGCTGTGTTTGAGAAATTACATTGAAGAATAGCTTTACTGATGTGGCTTAAAACAGGTGTGGAAGATGGGAGGGAGAGTTGATTCCAGAGAGGTACGAAATAGTATCCGAGTATGTAATATTTTCTCATGCGTTCAGTCAAACCATTTTAACTATGAAAGAGCTCACCTCAACAAGACCACTCACAGAAATTATGCTGATAGTAACTACCATTATGGAAAACTTGCAAAATGTGTTTCCTTGTTATCTATGGCTATTCAGTATGCAGTCCTCCAAACCGTCACTTTGATTGCTTATCTTTTTGGCTTTGGTGGAGTTAAAATATGGGCTGTCCCAAGTGAGTGGAGATTATAAGGTTTAGTATTTAGTATTTAAAGGCCTCATGGAAGACAGCCTGTAATTACACAACCCTTCAGAGCATGTATATCTACTGCTTACATAGATGTTTTATTGTAGGGTTGCTTGTGCCACAGTAGTGAAATACCTAGGGCAAAGGGAAATTAGACTGCACTGATTCTATCCTGTGTAATACTGATAGTTTCTAAGTATATTAAATGACCCATTAGTAACTAAGTTATTTGGGATGATTCTTGAAAAGCATCACTCATAACTGGATTCTTGCTTGTTCTGAAGAATAGTAGAAAAAGGAAATCTAAAGCTATTCTGTGAGATGTAAATTTGTGATGGCATAGTGATAACAGATTTTTCTTTTAATAGGTTCTGGAAAACATTAACACCACCAATGAATGACTTGATCTTCGCTCTGAGCTCCAGATGACTTATCCTGTTGTTCGTAAGGGTATGTGTACTTCCATTGTGGAGGTGTTGGCAAAATCTAGAATGATTTTAAAACACGTCCTTGTAGCTTTTTGTTTCATTCACTTTGGCAGCCACACTTGGAGTGTCTGACCCAAGTGGTCTCTGGCGTAGTGGTTTATTCTTGATCTAGCATTGCTTTTTCACAGCCGTGATAAGATGCAGTGTCGAACGTCTCCTTGCTCCTTTGAGGAGATACAGTGTGTCAATGCAGCCAAAGGCCTGTGACCTCTGAGACATGACACTGAGTATCTAGCACACAAGCTTCATAGTTTTGCCTTTGTCATTGTACCTTTCAAGATCATCTCGTGCAGTTTGCTGAAGAGCAAGATTTCACTGCAAGATCTTCCTCCAGACCTGCATACTGGTGTTGGGAAAAAGAGATAGAGGATCGTGTAGAATCGGTCATGTGCTGGATGTATTCCTGGGGCAGTGCTGTCCTAGAGGAAAAAAATCCTTCTAGGAATATCCTAGATGTGTCACTGATCTTGGTGACTTGCTGTCCTCTAAAAAGTTTGAATTTAGCAAAAGATAGACAACAAATTGTACAATGTTTTCTGAACAGTTTTTTTTCTAAAGCAACTACTTTGTTTATAACTTAAGCTTCTGTTGTTAGATGTCGTCTGTTACTGAAAATGGAGATGTTACTGCTGGAAAGCCAAATGAAGAGAAAACATATAAAAAGGTAAATAAGACTTACAACCTTTTCACTTAATGTTTTTCCCTTCATATTGGTCATTCAAACCTGCTGTAAGTGAAATATGTTTCAGAACTGACTAAATACAAGAACAAACAAAACATGTTCCATGGATTTTTTTGAAAGTACTTTATTCCTTCTATGAAATCATAAGACATTTCTACCCACTGCAGAGCTGACTATTTGAAAGCTTGTTCAGTACAGCTTTAAAGTACACACTCTTCCTAGATTGATGGAAATTCTTTGCTCTTAGGAACAGATACACCTCTGGGCATAAACACTGTTGTCAGAAATTTAGTACAGTAAGTTCCCAAATACTTTGAATGTTTACGTGATGTGTCTGTACTACAGACCTACACTACCACCTCCTCAGTGCTTTCCCAAACAGGACACTTTTTGTTTGCTTTGTTTTTTAAAAAATAAATGTTGTTTAAGAGAGGATATGTTAATGTAGGAGCATGCATCAACAGTAGCAGCATAGGGCTATTTAGATGTTCTAACAGTAGCTGGTACTGATTTTTCTTGTTTTTCTTTCTTTTGTTGTCTGAGACCAGCATCATTTAAGTCCAGGTTGCACTGTTGATAACTAAGGGGAGCTATAAATGCATATTTGTCTATACGTATTTACACAACCAAATTGTTAGCTGCCAGATTTGATCATTCTCTTGACAGATCACCTCAAAGAAGTGGTGATTTTTTTTCTTAATTTCTGTAATCTAGCACAGAGATCCACATGCTCCTGTAGTATGTATCATGGGCTAGGGTTTTTCATTTCTGAATGTTGCCTACAGCAGTGCTGGTGAAGTCAAGGAGAATAATAAGGTGCTATTTCTTTTCTCACCCCTTTTGTTGGCAGCTGCATTTTCAGTAACTGAGTGGCCTTAACATTCCAGATACTTTTCTCAGAAATGAAAGGAAATAATGTTTGAGAAAATGCTTTCTTTTTAGATATAGGTTATGTTCAGTCTCCTAGCTTATGACTTTAAAATGTTGAAGTCTAAATTGTTCTTGACATTTACTGCAAGAAAGGAAGAAAAGTTCAGTGCCTGAGGTGGATGCTTTTGCAGTTTTATATTGCTAGGCTAGACAAGACAAATCCTGGTAGTCCGCCCATAGGTGAGTTTCCATTCCCCCAAGTCATCCTACATGCTCATCTCTGTTCCTGTTCAGCTCTAAATTCACAATATTCCGGAGGAAACCTTGTATATACTTCTCACCATGGCACAAATTCTTCTGTATGTTTACTGGAAATACATCTCTGACAAAACCTAGGATTCACAACCACGTCACATTGGAAGATCACAGTGACTGTCATGTCCCTTTCTGCCCTTTCCCCTGAACCACCAGTTGTCTGTACTTTTATCTTAAGCCAGTTTAATTCCTTTTCTTGCACTTACACCCTCAGCTGTTCTGTGTTCAAGATCCTGTGTTGCATACATCACGTAGTTTAGTGTTAACACTGAATATTATCATTATGCTCCTGCTTTATATGATAATGCTAATAAAAAAATTAATAAATTTTGACCCCACAATTTATCCATGCAGGGCTTACTGGTAGCATGTCTTTGCCTGATGCTTTCACTGTTAACAATGTGTCTCTCTTCTTAAGCCAAATTCCTTACAACCCTTGCACTTTCTGTTGATTCTCACCTTCTTCAGATATTCCATGCACTGTTGTTTCATATTTTTTTACAGAAGTCCAGACGGATCAACTGCATATGTTTAGAAAGTTGGTTACAGGGTGAGCCTGGCAGGACCTGTGTTTGACAAAGGTGTTTCATGCCATTTCCCATTTAATTCTATATTTTTAGGTAACTTTCACAAGGAGATCTTGATCTGTTGAAGTCTTGTTTACAGTTAAGTTCTGCCTGTCTTTTATTGCCCACATCACTTTTCTTCACTCTTTTATACAGGTATTGCATTTACAGTTCTCTAGTCATGCATTGTTGCACTTCGTTTGTTTGGCTGGAAAATACTTGCAGTTCTATCCTGTGAATCCCTGTGCCATTTTCTCCAGAATCTAGTCTGGGGAAGAGCTTGTTTCCTCAACTGGTCCTTTTTCAGCTACTTGGGCAGTTCCTGTTCCCATCTTCCACGGTGCTTCGTTGCAGTGGAAACACTTAGGCGAGATACTCATGTTGTTCTGAAGTCAAGCTGTGCTTGCTAACTCGTTCTTCAGCCTGGAGAAGAGAAGACTGAGAGGAGATCTGATCGATACTTACAAATACCTTAAGGGTGGATGTCAATAGGATGAGGCCAGATTCTTTTCAGTGGTACTGAGTGACAGGTTAAGGGGCAACGGGCACAAACTGAAACACAGGAATTTTCATATTAATGTGAGGAAGAACTTCTATACTTTGAGGGTGGCAGAGCACTGGAACAGGCTGCCCAGAGAGCTTGTGGAGTCTCCTTCAAAAACTGCCTGGATGCATTCCTGTGCAACTTGCTGTAGGTGAACCTGCTTTGGCAGGGGGGTTGGACTAGATGATCTCCAGAGTTCCCTTCCAACCCCAACCGTTCCGTGATTCTCAATGCTCAGAGGTTCCGCTTCCAATTTATTATTTTTTTTAAAAAACACCATAATAAAGGTGGAGAAGCTTGTGGTGTTCAGCTTAGAAAAGCAAAGGACAGTACCTTGGCTTGAACTGTGGCAATTCTGGTTTTTGCTCTGCTCTGACCTCTAATGTATAGCACAAGGGCAGCTGTATAACTGCTGTTAAGATAGGACTGAGTAAGTTTATGAAGGATTGTGTGGCATGGGACCTGTGGTACTGGTGTGTATCTTTGACCTGGAATATTCTTACCAGTGATGTGCTCCTGTGGAAGTCTGGTAGCCAAAGAAGTTGTGTCATGAGATGTAGGCATGGAGGGTTTCAACAGAGCAGTAGTATAGCTGGAAGCAGAACAAGTAACTAACACATAGTTCAGAAACACAGACATTAGAAAAGCTTTGTAATGTCAAGTTTTACGCGGGTAGTTGAAGTGATTTCTTGTGATAATTCTGGGAGATAATCCTCCTGAAATGTGGTGACAGTTTCAGTTTCAATTCTACCCCAGGTCACCCTGTAGTGGGACCTGCTGGTTCCACATGAGAATTTGGTAACAGTAACTCTGTCATGAGCTGGGTGGTTTGGTCTTAAGTTTTTAAAATCTTGCTTGGACTCTTTATCATCTCACACTGTGCCTCTTCATCCTCTCCCAGCAATTGCAAAGGGGCTTGCTGATTCAGGATCTGCAGTCGCTTTGTGGCAAAAAGTACATGATACTCAGATACATGCTGGAATGTTTATAATGCTCAAAATAAAATGAAATCTTTAGGGATAAGGGATGCACTGATACTGCGGTGCTGAAAGGTTACATTTTCCTTGCATGGGGTCGAGGGGGTGAGGGGGAGCAATCCTCAATCTGATCTAAAAAGCAAAATAGCCTTTTGTTTTAAACAATTTTGCATTTTGCTTATTTATATCTTGTGTCCATTCATCTTTCATAATACTATGCAAAGATTATGTCTGTGCAGCCTTAGTCATATATATATATATAAAAATTATGTATGAACAGGAAAAGTGATGCATGGAAAACGTCTGCTTTGTGATGTAAAATGCGGAGACCCATAGGAAAATTAAATAAATGTCTTGGCTTTAGAGGCATTTGCCTTGTGCCAGATCCAATGAGAAGTAAGCCTAACTAATCAATATATATTAAGCAGTGTTTTAGTTGCTTGACCTGGAAATGTAAATATCCCTATTCAGAACTGTGAATTGTCTGATAAGAGAAACCTGGGGGGAAATTAGAGAAAATAATTGCAAATACTTGATTTTTTTAATCAATCTTTTATGTAAGAGTAAAAAATTCATATTTTTGTCTTGAAGATAAAGGTGGTTTTTATCTAGTGTAAATGAAGCTGCTTACCTTATACAGTCTGTCCCATTGATACAGAGATGAGTGATGGCTTACTAAGACCCATTTCCATCAGAAAACAAATTATTTCTAATGGCTGTTTGAAGAAAACCAGTTTTCTGCTAAGGCATGTAGAAAACCTTCACGTTCTTTTCCTTGCGGTTCTCTCCCCCTTACTTCTGAAGACTCTGAGCGGATGATGTAGATACTGCTTTGAGTAGCAGCTGGAGTGGATTGACTCATGTGGAAAGGACATACAGCTGCAGTTGCACCTAGTAACGTGGGACTCAGTTGCTGCAGTAGATGGAGCATGAGTGGGAACTAAAGACTCCTTAATCCATTCCCTATTCATTCTGTAATTCTACCTTTTGCACACTATTCATACTGTCAGGGTGTGTGCTGCTGAGGATGATGTTCTTAACTAGTGCACCTCATCTCTGAGGGCTACTTAGCTGTGATAAATTAGTTCGTAGCTCTATGCTAAGAAAAAGCCTCTGAATCATTCACAAGACAGTGGCAGGGTTTCTATTATGAATCAAGCTTCTTTGGTTGGTTTTTTTTGGGTTTTTTTTAGCTTTTATTTTTTCTGTCACTGCAATCTGACATAAATGATCTTCTGGCTTTTAATTGTCTAATATTATTTAGTCAAAGTCCTTGAGAGAGAATGGAACACAACTTTCTGTTTGTTTTTTTTTTTTTTTTCTTTTGAAAAACCACAACCTTCCCTTGCATATCCTCTCTTATAAATAGTGTTATTTAAGGTGGATCTATTGGGCTGTTCAGCTGCAGTCATTTGCTACAAACGTTATGATCTCTGAAACTCCTCCTGGGCTTTCTCTGTAAATTTCAAGAAGTTGCTAAGTTTACAGTGTGAATATCACCTAAAAAAATTCAGTCACTTTAATTAAAGAACTTACTTAGTGGAAGAGAAACTTCACAGAGATATGTTCAATGCAGCTTTTAAGGTAGAGGATTCAAATAACTTTGAGATCAGAGGCATCTTGAATTATACAAACTATGGCCAGCTCTTTGAGGATGAGAGGGTTTTTTGTAGAGTTTTTTTGGATTGGTTTGTTTTGTGGTTTTTGTTG